TCATTTCAAAAAAAAAAAAAAAAAACACACACATTGCAATAAAAGTTGATAAACTTAAAAAAAGCCCCTCCTCCTATGAGCTTTTGGCTTTTGATTTTTTTCTTCGTTATAAAAAAAATACATTTTATTGTAAAAGATTTTGTACAAATGTGTTTGGTCTATCTTTTACTTATAAGAAGAAGATAAGCTTAAAAAAACACCTCTCAAACAGGCACTGAGAGGGATAACTCTGTGACATTGATTGTACTACCACGAATTTATATATAATTTATCAAAATGCCACGGGATTGAAATATTTTTTAAATTGCCACGACATCATAGTTGCTGAGGTATCTAGCAACTATGAATAAGACACTCATGACGTCTCCAATGACTGAGGCTTGGTGGAGCCAAGTGAACCAAAGTCGCTTCCCTCTACAGCGACTATACCCTAGTAAATCTGCCTCCTCCCTAGCCGCGTACAGAGTTCAGAATGGTGCAAAGTTGCATATAAAGTTTTGAATACCAAGTGTGTGAACACCTTATTCTAGAATACTCAAGGACGATTCTCTTCTCTAGTAAGGTTAAAACTGAAGATGGTCCACATCCAATTCAAATCTCTTATAAATTAGAGTAAATATCTTTTTTGGTTCTCAGCAAATTTTATGAACCGATATAGTCCCTAGCAAATAAAAAGGTCTATTGTGGTCCTTAAGAAATTCAAAATGCACTACTAAAAAAAGCTCTATTATCGACGGAATTTATCAACGAAAAATATTCCATCCAAAATAGTAACGAAATTTTTGACGAAAATTCAATTCCGTTGGAAATAGAGACGGAAAAAATTTCCGTTGAATTTTGAGACGGAAATTTCCAACGGAAAATAAATTCCGTCAAAAATTTTAACGGAAATTAAATTTCGTTGAAATTTTCTGTCAAAAATTTATCACATAATTATTTTTAATCGAAAAATAGCGACGGACAACAAATTCTGTTGATAATTACAACGGAATAATATTCCGTTTAAAATTTCAACGGAAATTTTCCGTTGAAAATTGCAACGGCATAGTTTTCCGTTGAAAATTGCAACGGAATTTTGGTCCGTTGAAACTTTCAACGGAATTTTGGTCTTTTTCCGTCGAAAATTTCAACGGAGTTTTTTTCCGTTGATAATTTTCAAATCATCACAACCATTATCAAAAACTCTAAATTTCTTTTAGGAAAGTATGCTGTCATTTATAATTGTTTATGGTGTTGTGCATATATATTGAAACATTTACATGAGAATGCAAGTAGTGACTATCCACGTCTGGAAGTGTTGAAGAAGTGGGTGAAGTTATAAGTATACTAAAATGATGCTCGGATGTACTCACATGATAAAGGATGTGAAACTACGTAAATATTTTGCTAACAAATCTCTGTAATCTTTATTATACTCAGATCAATATCATATATGTTGATAATTGCATATCACTCATGTTGTGTTTGTTTTCGTTGATTGCATTTTTTATATTGTTTAAGTTTACTATTGATGGCTTCCAGCAGGTCTGTGCTTAGGAGGTTTTGTCCCTCATCTTGCAATGGCGTGTGTGTCATTTATACGATCAATTCTTTCAAGGCTTGTTTCAATAAAGATTAAAGAGATTTGTTAGCAACATATTTACGTATTTTCATATCCATTATCATTTGAGTACATCTTAGTATCATTTTTGCATACTCATAACTTCACCCACTCTTTCAACACTTGTAGTTGTGGATAGTCATGACTACTTGCATTCTCATGTGAATGTTTCAATATGTATGCACAATAACATAAACAATTATGAATGATAGCATTCTTGCACAAAAGAAATTTATGGCTTTTCATAATGCTTGTGATTACTTGAAGAGCAAAATGAAGGAGAAAAATTCAGTCAAAATTACTTTATGGAAAAAAAAGTCCATTGAAATTTTCAACGGAAAATAATTCCGTTGAAATTTTTGACGGAAAAAGTCCAAAATTCCGTTGGAATTTTCAACGGAAAATTATTCCGTTGCAATTTTCGACGGAAAAAGTCCAAAATTCCGTTGGAATTTTAAACAGAAAATTATTCCGTTGCAATTTTAAACGGAAATAATTCTGTTGAAATTTTCGACGGAAAAGGTTCAAAATTCCGTTGGAATTTTCAACGGAGAATTATTCCGTTGCAATTTTCGACGGAAAAAGTCCAAAATTCCATTGGAATTTTCAACGAAAAATTATTCTGTTGCAATTTTCAACGAAAATAATTCCGTTGTAATTTTTTACGGAAAAAATTCCGTTGCAATATTCGATGAAAAAAACCAAAAGCCTTTGAAATTTTCAACACTAATAAGTTTATATATTTTATTATCTAATTGCAATTTAATTTATATATTTTTAATTAATAATAATACAAATAAACAAAAGAAAATCACTTTTGGGCTTAGGCCCGTTTCCTTGACGGGTTCGGGTGACCCGAACTTTCCTCTTCTAAACTCCCAATTACTCTAAAACCCTAGACTCACCAGTAGAAGAAGAAGCCGTTATTATTCTTCTTCTTATGAGCATTGACAACCTCGTATGCACGGACACACAATTTTTTTAAAAATTTGCGTGTCGGACGCGTGTCCGACACGTGGTCAACATTTGGGGACACGCGGTCAACTCTCCGACACGTTCCGAGACGCGGTCAATATTTGGGGACACGCAGTCAACATTTGGGGAAACGAAAAATTATTTATGTTTATATTTATGTTATGAAATTTATATATTTGATTGGTTATATGACTTATTATGGACTCTTATATGTATTAAATATAAAAGTGTGTCCCAACGTGTCGAAATATCATATTTTTTAGAATTAATGTGTCGGTGTGTCGTGTCGTGTCCCGTGTCCGTGTCCGTGCATCATAGTTGACAACTTCTATTTTTGCAAGGATTCCATTCATATCTCATTTATCTTAGGACTAACGGTTTGCCGTATTTAATAATCTAATTGGCAACTCATTATTAACATCAACAATTACATAGTAAATGACTTATTCCTAATAGTATAATTAATTACTGCTATTTACATTAACTATTAAAAGACTCATCGTAATATAATTAATTTGTGTTTTCAAAAAGTTTACATGGCATTTGAAATGAAGTTTAATTTTAAAATAAGAAATTTAATTTACAAAAATTTAAAACTAATTTAAAGGATATATACGAATTTGTTTGATTGGATATCAAATTAATAAAATTATTTTTTATAATATCTAAATATTTCCTTAAAAAAATATAATTTCATAATTTAATTTTAAATATTGAAATTTGAAACCTTTCAAATTGAAAAAGAGAAATACTTTTTAAAGGAAAAATCAAATGCATTAAAATCAAATTTGAAACCTAATGAGTTTCCCCTTTTCCCACTTCCCTCCCAAAGTTTCCCACTTCCCTCCCAAATACTCAGGGTCTCCCTTTGTTTGCTTTGAAAATCTTTTAGGCCCACAAAATCAAACTATGAAATTTTTTTTTTAAATAGTAAAAAGATGGAATGAGGAAGGGTTTAGGGCAAAGAAGAAATAGTTTGGTTTCCTCAGATCTCAAAAACAGAGACGAAAGAAGAATGAATGGAAGACGATGAGATAACAGAGGGGTCATTCCCTGCTGTTCGAGTTGATGAAGTGAGACGATGAAAGATCTGGAAGATTCTCAGCAACCAGATCGGGCATATTTATTCTGCGAAGCTCGTCCATCTGAGAAGCTTATTGTTTTATTTTTGGACTCAACTGGTCACCGATGAGGTGAGACACTCAACGTAGTCCATCAAAATAGAGAGCTTATTGTTTTTTCTTTGGACTCAGCTGACATTTATTCTTATTTTTCTTTTTACTTCTGATTTTTCTTATAGTTTGTTTCACCACTACGGTTTGTGCATATTTATTCTGAGAAGCTCGTCCATCTTCCCCATTGCTACTTTGTAAATGATTACAAACAGGTTTTTTTTAACTCAGAAGGGAGAACTTTTTGGATTCAATTCATTGATTCGTGTGTTGTTTGTTGTGTATTTAGATGCATGGCATTGATTTTATTCTTGTGCTGCATAATTTGTTTGCTCAGAAAAATCAGGACGTTTTATATCCAAAATGCCAGCACAAACGATCATACTATGGTTTACCTGAAGATAAATTTTTATTTGCATGCTTCAATCAACTGTACAAGATGGATCCCGAAATCTTTAATACATGGTAATGTCAGCATTCTCTTTATCGCTTGGCTAGATAAAAAATGATTGCTCAACTATTTCTTTTCATGTCTTTCATAAAAAACCAAGCTTTATCCCACTTGTCAGGGTTGGCTGCATGGATCAATAACACTATTGTGCTATATCAAAAGAGAAATTCTTGTATAGATACTGTCTGTGTACTAAACCAATCAATAATTGGGAAATTATCACTTTAAATGTAAAATAATTGTGTGGCACAAGAATTTATGTAATAATTTAATATAAAATGATGTGTTAATTGTTAAATTGTTTAGTCTCCACAACTTGTGTGGATGAGGTCTAAGAATTTCTCCTATTTGAAACCATCTTTTTCATGTATTCTATTTTTCCCCAAAATTCGGCATTTTCATATTTACATGTCTGCCTATGGTTGTCTGCTCTTAGGTGCAATATTCTTAAACGAGTACCCAATAGTGCACTTTGGCTCGTGAGATTTCCTGCAGCAGGTGAAATAAGACTGAGGGCATGTACGTGGGTTTGTTTAATGACCTGCTTTTGTAAAAGTTATGTGATTGGTGTTGTCTGGTTCATTTTTATTATTGCTCCAATGGGCATTGGGCATTGGCCTTGCGGATGCTCATGGCACCTTTTACTATCTCTTTTTTTATTTTATTTGCTGCATAATTGTAGTACTTAGTGTAGCAGCTTTTGGTGAAAAATTTTCCTCCATTTTGGTCCTCCTTTCTGATTAGTGGACTTCCTTTAGATGCTGCTGCACAAGGGGTATGGCCAAATCAGATTTTTTCACTGATGTTGCAATGAAGAATGAACACATAAGGCGAAGTGCTCTAGCAGACTTATTTCTTGACACGTAATTTCATCTCTACTTTTTGTCTCGCTTCTTTACATTTGCTGATTCTCCCTCCCCCTTATTTTTCTGTTGTAGTTTTAGTCGTTTACTTTATTTTTTTACCTTTTAATATCCTGGTTATGTTTTCTTTTAGGCCTTTATGCCATGCACATACAACAGGAACAGATATATTATGGGCAGGTTTGCCGATGGTGACTCTTCCTCTTGAGAAAATGGCTACTAGAGTTGCTGGGTCACTGAGGAGAAACTAGCTTTTTGCAAGGGAATCAGAGCTGGTGTGGGCATCAATTACAAAACAGAGGACTATGTTACGAGGGTAAAGGAAGAAACCGGTGGTCAAGGTATTATTATATATAGGAAGCACGATGTAATTTCTCAGAATACCTCAGTGTTAAACAATATATTTAGTACACCTTGATGTGTGTTTTTACTGGTTGTATAGAGAAGCATGATGTATTATTGTGATTGATGTGTGGTGGCAGGTGTTGATGTTATTCTCGATTGTATGGGAGCATCCTACTATCAAAGAAATCTTGACAGCTTAAATTTTGATGGAAGGCTTTTTATTATCGGTTTTCAAGAAAGAGGGAGGGGGTAGATCTCCGCTCTTTACTTGCCAAGCGTCTTACTGTGGTAGTCTTTGAAAATCTTTGTACTTGGCAGCTATATATAACACTATGAGATGGTGTAAATATCTGTGTAGAACTACTGCCCTTGGGTTCCAAAATATTGCTATTATTTTTGGTTCTTACCTGAAGTTTTTTAAGATCTTGACCCTTATACGCTTGATTATTTTATAGCATAATCATTTCAGGTATTAATGTGCAAGCTTTGAATCCTATCAGATACACGTTTACTTCAAAAGGTAAAACACATAAAAATCAATAATTTAAACCATTATATCATCATTTTTATGTTTTCTGGATTTTTTTTATAAATTTCTACTTCTATGTATTTTTTTATCAGCATTATTTTTTTTCTTCTATTTATGTTTTCTGGGTTTTTTTTTATAAATTTGCTCTAAATATAGATTGTCTTTTTTATATATATATATAACCTTATACATAGATAGATAAGTAGCGTTATAGATATAGATACGCATATATACGTAGACTTTTTTTTTATATATATTTTACTTTTTTGTTAATAATACTTTAGCTTCAAATAGCTACACGCATATAATAGTTTTTATAGTTAGATTTTTTTGTTGTTGTAATTTATTTATTTTTTGGTGTAATAGAGAAATATTTGTAAAACTAGTTTGTATTTTTTATTATATGTAATTTTTTTTAATAAAGTTGTCATATCTTTTGTCCAAAGAAAAAGTTTAATGGCTGGTTATTCCGTTGGTTGAGAAAATCGATTCCAAATCATGCAGATGGATATAATGCCCCCATATCCGTAGGCAGTTTTCAAGATGACGTCAGTATTTATGCTGGCAGTTTAAAATGCCATCAATATTTGTTGAATTAAAATTCATATGAATTTAATTATTTTTTTTAAATTAAAAATATTTTTTTGACGGAATTCTATGAACATTCCGTTGTAAACTGTTAAGAATTTTCAACGGAATTCAATTCCGTTGAAATTTTCAACGGAGTTATAGATAAATTCCGTTGCAAGCTGTTACATAACTTTTGGGTGAAACTTTTTCCTGTTGAAATTTACAATGGAATATTTTGACAGAATTATTTTCCGTTGAAATTATAGACGGAATTGTAGATAAATTCCGTTGAATTTTACAACGGAATTTTCTCACGGAGATTTTTTCTGTTGCAATTATCGATGGAATTATAGTTAAATTACGTAAAAAATTATGACAGAATTTTCAACGGAAATTAATTTCGTCAAAAATTTCAACGAAAATTTTGTTAAATTCTGTTGTAAATGGAGACAAAATTTTTTGACGGATATATTTCCGTTGAAATTTTCGACGGAATTTATTATTTTAATATTATTTCATGACTTTATTTATTGACGGAAAGGTAAGGCTTCCAACGGAATACATTCCGGAATTTTTCAACGGAAAAATATTCCGTTGTAAATTGCAACGGAAAATAAAATTCCGTTGCCTTTCGACGAAGGATTATCCAACAGCAGAATTCCGTCGAAAATTCCGTTGAAAAATGATTTTTCAAGGGAATTTTCATAATTTTCAACAGAAAAATTCTGTTGAAAATATTAATATTTCTAGTAGTGGTTGGAGAAAAAGTTTATTTAAACATATTTGCATGTGGTAATTGTTAGGAAATTATATTTTCTAATAATTATTGTGGGTCACATATTATATTAATAATTATATTGTGTTATTTATATATATTGGGTAAATTAAAGTGATCAGTTAAATATTTCCAAATAGATTCCTAAGTGAGTATGGGCTGAATGAGTGGATACTGCTGTTGGGCCAACTAGGTATAATGAGAGCTTATTGACCCAACAATAAAGATAAAAACACTATATAAGGGTTATGGTCCCCAATACGTAAAAATGAACAACCCTAGTTTCTCTTCTTCCCCATCAAGAGAGAGACGGCACACTAAAGAATTCGGTTTTAAGGTGATTTGAATGAGGAAGACTACAAACCCCAAGAGACAAGATCAAAGTTATTCCGCTGCAATGGAGACAGGTATTCCTCCACCTTTATGTTGTTCTTATTTTTCTTTATGATTTGGTATGATGAATCTTGGCTTGTAGGTGATAGTTATCACCATAAAGTTTAGAGGAATTAAAAATTCCAACAATTGGTATCAGAGCCATCGTCATATTGAATTATGAGGAAATTAAGTTTTGTGATTTTTATATATGATTAATCATGAAAAGTTTTGCTTTATTGTCTTTTGGCATAAAGTTTATTATTTTTTGAACGTGGGTTCCATCTTATGTATTTTGTATTAGCTATGTAGTGTTATTTTTGTTCCCTGACGGTGATTTTTTGGTTTTGGAACAAAAGCTACATTTTTTAGAAAAAACTAGGATTCACAGTTTAATAAGGGTTTATTATTTAAATTTTGAATCTGTGAATAGATGGAATGTTTGAAAGAATTTTGGCTTTATAATCGATGAGGTTTTGTTGTTTGAATTTTTTGAATAAACAATGAATTCTCTTAGAAAATTTTGGACTTACGGTTTGAAAGAAATCAAGTGTTTAAGGTCTTTGGTTTTGGGGTTTTCCTTATATTTGATATTCTTTGTTAAAAGCTAAATATAATTTTTTTTTGGGTATTATGCATCATTTTCAAGCTTTCATTTGAAAAGGCTTACATGTGCGACGATTGTGCATTAATTTTTAAGCCTTATAATGAAAAGGTATTTATTGTATGCATCATTTTCAAGCATTCATTTGAAAAGGCTTACATGTGCGTTGTTTCTGCATCATTTTTTAAGCCTTATAATGAAAAGATATTTATTGTTAATGGTATAATGATATAGTATGTATGTATATACATTGAGGATTGATAAAGACTAATTTTCTTTATTGTTGTTATTTTATTTTTAAATGGGTTTATTATCCCTAAAGGTTTCTATTTGAAATTAAATATGATAGATTTGTTAGCCGCCACAGTGGCCAAATTTATAAAGGTTAATTTGATTTCAAATAGGTTGGTCATATAAATATATTTTATTTATGCAAATAATAATCGGCCCACAGGAAGGTTATTGTTTGGCCAAATAACATATGTTGTGTGATCATGTGTGTGTTTATTGCTTATGCGGATAGTGATCGGCCCACAGGAAGGTTATTATTTGGCCAAGTAACAAACATACCTCTGGTAATAAATATATGACAATTATCAAGAATTCTCCATGTAATTCATAGTCGGCCCACAGGAAGGCTATGATTTGACAGGACTTATTGTCTTTGGTTTTGGGGTTTTCCTTATATTTGATATTCTTTGTTAAAAGCTAAATATAATTTTTTTTTGGGTATTATGCATCATTTTCAAGCTTTCATTTGAAAAGGCTTACATGTGCGTCGATTGTGCATTAATTTTTAAGCCTTATAATGAAAAGGTATTTATTGTATGCATCATTTTCAAGCATTCATTTGAAAAGGCTTACATGTGCGTTGTTTCTGCATCATTTTTTAAGCCTTATAATGAAAAGATATTTATTGTTAATGGTATAATGATATAGTATGTATGTATATACATTGAGGATTGATAAAGACTAATTTTCTTTATTGTTGTTATTTTATTTTTAAATGGGTTTATTATCCCTAAATGTTTCTATTTGAAATTAAATATGATAGATTTGTTAGCCGCCACAGTGGCCAAATTTATAAAGGTTAATTTGATTTCAAATAGGTTGGTCATATAAATATATTTTATTTATGCAAATAATAATCGGCCCACAGGAAGGTTATTGTTTGGCCAAATAACATATGTTGTGTGATCATGTGTGTGTTTATTGCTTATGCGGATAGTGATCGGCCCACAGGAAGGTTATTATTTGGCCAAGTAACAAACATACCTCTGGTAATAAATATATGACAATTATCAAGAATTCTCCATGTAATTCATAGTCGGCCCACAGGAAGGCTATGATTTGACAGGACTTATTGTCAATGTTTGATTACTACATTAAGAGTACCACTTACAAGTTGATATTTTTGTCCACAGACTAAATATTAATGTTGTGCTAGGTATCTTATAATAAACTCATTTTACTTCGGATTATTTGTATGTTATCTTTTTTGTTCTCTGTATAGTTTCTACTACCGCTGCCAATTATGTTGCTCAAATGAATATGCTTCCAATGCTTAATGGGGCAAATTTCAAGCTGTGGAAAGAGAATGTGGAAATTTTTCTCGGCTGCATGGATCTCGACAATGCGCTAAGGACTGAGAAACCCACTTCTACTCAGGAAAATCCAAACACTGATAAAATTGAGAAGTGGGAACGCTCAAATCGCATGTGTCTGGTGATCATGAAACGTTTCGTTCCGGAGGCGTTTAGGGGCTCGATTGTTGAGACTACTAATGCCAAGTTGTTTCTTAAGGAACTCGAGCAATACTTTGCTCGAAATGAAAAGGCTAAAATTGGTCAAACCTTGTCCAAACTCATAAACATGAGGTATAAAGGAAAGGGAAACATAAGGGAGTACATTATGGAAATGTCTAATCTTGCTGGAAAACTAAAGGCATTAAAGTTAGAGCTGCCCTCTGAGATGCTCATGTACTTAGTTATTATCTCTCTTCTTGTACAATACGGTCAATTTGTGGTGAGTTATAACACTCAAAAGGAAAAATGGACTCTTAATGAGCTCATTTCTCACTGCGTGCAAGAGGAAGAGAGGTTACAGCGAGAGAAGACTGATAGTGCTCACTCTGCATCAACCTCTCAAGACAAGAAGAGAAAGAGAGCTAAGGATAATGCAGATGCTTTGCCAAAGAAGCAAAAGAAGCAGGATCAGGAATTCACCTGCTTCTTTTGTAAGAAATCTGGACACATGAGTGTTCCAAATACAAGGCATGGCGCGAAAAGAAGGGTATGACTCTCACTTTAGTTTGTTTTGAAATTAATTTAGCTACTGTACCTATTGATACTTGGTGGGTAGATTCTGGTGCTACTACTCACATTAG